GGATTACCATTAAAGTTCATTGTTTTTGAAGGGAAAGATTAGCAAAGAAAGAGACATAAAAAGAATTTGCTACATGTATATAGAATAACAGAAGGAATTATTTAGAGTAAGGAGTACCAGACCACCTATGTAGCTGTTTAGTATCCTGTTTCAAGAGACCAGCAATGAACCGAATATCAATGAAAAGTAAACCTTTTTTTATTAAGCAGATGTGTCTATTTATCTTTCATTAGCATCACCCTGAGTTGATCCATACACAAAGAAGAGGATCCAGTTAAGATTACCTGTTCACTTAACTTGTCTTATTGTCAAACTGATGTTTGAAATGCTGCAAAATGTAAAATGCAAAATGTAAAAGTGTGTGTTTCCATTAGCTCTACTGAGGTAAATGAATTGGCTTCCTAAAATGTAGAGACTGTAGAGACTACAGTACACACCAAGAGCAAAGGTGTAAAATATTCAGAAACTTGAATTAAACTATAAATACAAGGCAAGATGTTATCCTCCTTTGCTGCCTGCTGATGTCATAACATCCAAGGATGGAAACAAAGACATGCTCTAAGTAATAATGTAATTCAGTACCTAATGGTGACACAACCACGGGTATTTTATATTTAACTTAGTGGGTGAGTGAATGCATCTATCTTACTATTTATCACATAATTTGCCATGAAAGACATTTTGTCACTGGGTTTTTCATTCCTATTTGGCTTTTCTCATTCACTGCCGACACAGAATGCACATAAATCCACTTATACTGTATGGAAACCCAGACAGAGTCTCACAGACCGTTGAGAAGATTTGGAGACAGGTGCAAATGGTGCTCTCTGTCTTATTGCTTTGCTGTTGCTCTTTTCAGTGAAAGGAAGGGAGAGGAAAGGTAGCTGCGCTAATAAGTTCAGTTCCATCCATCGGTTGCACTTGGTACGACAAGGGTTACTCCTTTGTGTGCCCCAACGTCACTCTGCCTCCCAATTACCACATTTACACACACATACACACACATACACACACACACACACACATTCATTTATATTCAGAGAGAATTTTAAATGCCCTCCATTAAATTCATAAAAGATGTATCGTCTGTTAAAACCAAAAGTGATCTTCTCACCTTTTATACATTGTTATCTATACATTAAAGAGCACATACATTATACAGTGAGGGCTGAAAATGAGCTGTCTCACTCTGGAAAGTGTCAAACCAGAGCCTTGATAATAAAAAAGGAAATGCCAGTAATACTAAGTAGAGAAAAATATTGCTGGTCAGATGGGGCATTAAGAGTATGACTGTAAAAAGGAAACTTTTAAAATGGAATAATCAGCAAAATTTATCTCAAGCAACACTGATTGAATTTCCATCACAAATAAGGGAATATGAATGAATGAGCATGAGCCTGTACTTTCTCAGTGTTTTCTCACATTATTAGCTAATAACGCATGATTAAAAAGTGGAAGTATACCAATTTGTGTGGCGTACAGTATATTAATGTGGTTTCACTGACACTACTGTACAGTTAGAGCTGTGTGCAATTTTCTTCAAAGGAGATATACGACATTAAAAATGCTAGTTTCAACAGTTTCAATGTTTACATATAATTTTCAGGTGACATTTTCAATATTCACTCCCTGAAGAACCTTAGTTGAGATAGTGGTGGGCGTTGAGAGCCTGCAGTCGAACGTCTCTGTTTGGCTGCTGGCACCTAAATGTCAACCTCTATCCTTGCAGTACTGAAGTGGAAAAGTCTGCAAAGTTGCAGCCACAAGCTGATGCCAGACAATAGCGAATGTGTCATATCATCTGTATTAATCAGCCAGTAGTCTGATTTGAGATCAGTTCATTACCTGCACACAGGGGCTCACAGAAAAGCCAGAATGGGGGAATCAAACTTGAACTCCCGCAACACCATTAAAGATAACACCCACAAAATAACTGCCAGTGTTCGTAAAGGTGACAAAACCCTGTATGTCATCCTCTAAATCCAAGATTTCCTAATTCATATTAAGGTTACATGTGTTCCCCTCCATATTCTTTGCAGCGCTGAGCCTTTTGGAGGGTCATCAGATGGTGCCTGGTGCTGTAGTCGGTTCTGAAAGCAGGAAATGCCAGGCAGATAAAGCTGCTCGACTATCGCAAACACACACACACACACACACACACACACACACACACACACACACACATACACACACACACACAGTGACATTTTAGATCTCCTCAGTGAATCTGGGACCGTAACCAACAGTTATGCTCCGAATCCAAGCCTCCCTAATTCATCTCCCTCTCTTTCACTATCTCTGAGAGCACTCCTGCCACTACCAAACTTTCAGCCCTAAAACTCATCTTCTCTGCCTATTCTGCCATTTCAAAATTACTCATGTTAACTATTCCACACGTTTTGTCTTTTGTCAAAATGGCCCTGACAAATCTGACACATCAGGCTGCCTTTGGTGGAGACCCCCTCTGAGATTAGCACTCTCTAATGAAGTCATTTGAGTCAGGCAGGCACATTCCAATCTCTGAACATCCAATCAAAAGCACCAGAGAGACTCTCTGTGCTCCAATAGATGCCAAGATGGTGATGGACAGAGGGACAAAGGCGGATAAACCGACAAAGAAACAAGATAAGTGAAAAACACATCAGTTGGGGGCCAGACAGCATTTATCTTAACCCATGTTGAATACATAAATACATAATAAATACATAAAAAATAATAGGAGACTGAAAAATGGGAGGAGTAGGAAAGGAAGGGAGGGTTGAGAGAAGGCAGGCAAGCAAAAATGAGAAAGTAAAGGAACCTGCCTTTTTCTTACACTGATGCATCTACACCCCACACACACACACACACACACACACACACACACACACACACACACAGGCTTTGTCAACAAAATAATGTGACCAATGAGAAAAAAAGGAAGGAAAACAAAGTGAGAAAGCAAAGCAAACAAGGACAACAGACAGAGACGGATTCCAGTCCACGTAACTTTGGATGAGCAGGATAGACTTTTTTTGAAGAGGTAACTGAAGTAACCAAGTTTTCTTCAGAGTCATTCAAAGAATTTGCAAAAACAAACATTTCTATATAGTGTTGACTGTGAGATACCATAAAGACCATAAAGCTTTGCATATTACAATAATTACCTGATATTCACTCCTAGGGAGCTGCACAGTGCTACAACTTAAGTAATGTGAAGACATGCTGGTGTGGTCATTTGTTGCCATTAAGATATCTACAGAATAACAGTTTCAGAACAATATTAAGAGATAAGTGTGGAAGCGAGAAAAACAGAAGAAAATTAGATATATATATATTATATAAACTATCATTATACAACACAGGATTGCATAATGAAGTGCAGCGCCATGCTACACACAAATATTCTAATATTAAAGATTAGAATAAAATAGAACAAATGATACAAAAGTAGCACAAAAGGAAGACATAAAGAAGGAAAACTAAAATTAGATTTACAAGGAAGATATACAGTTACATGTATATGAATGTACTGTAATTAATGACAATTGTAAAATGTAAGTAAGTAAATCAGCTACAAACTTTGAGTGAACAGTGCACTTTCACTGATGAAGTCTGGCTGAACGCCAATAAACTTGATCAGCATAAAGGCAAACAATCAGACAAGGCACACTGGGCAAACTAATTCCAAGCATGCCATTGGATAAGCAGTGACCGTCCACCTAGTGTCCTTGAGTGACCACAATTTACTGCACGGCTGACAGCTAACTGGCCGACTGCAGTGTCATGACAAAAACAAGAAAACACAAAGAAAGACTGCAACGAAACACGAAAGGCAGAAAAACAAAAGGCAAGAAAAGAAGCAAGCCAGAAAGAACGCAAACAAGTAAGCAAGAAAGACAGAAAATGAAAATACAGTAGAAAGAAAGCCAAGCTTAGTCAAGAGTCAAGACATGTGTGGCCCATCAAAAAGAACCCTACCGGAGGAAAAATATAAATAAAACACAATCATTAACCAGCTCTGCCACACTTAACAAGGAGCTCGGAGAGACGAGGGAGGAGGAATAAGTGGAGGGAGCCGCAGGGTTGCCGCGGCAACTGAAATTAGAACCTGGGATAACAAGAGAAATGAGAATGTGTGGGACGACCCAGGTGAGACAGACAGAGTGGGGGAAGAGAGAGACACAGAGAAAGAGACAAAGAAAAAAGATTCATAGAGAAAATAACAGACTCGCCGGCATTCTTGTGAGCACCACTTATACAACAATGAATAAAACGGCTGAACGTGTTTTCTTTTAAAGCCACAAAAAAAAGAGAGATGACAGCTCATTCAACGTAAAACATGAAGAAACCATAATTGTGCTCTCTTGTGGTGTGACTTCATCTAACCAAAACACACCGACCCATACACACTTACTGTGTTACCCATACTGCACGGTTACTGGGACTGTTTGCAAATTGCAGCCAAAATTTGATATTTATAGATGCAGTGTTCAAAATAATTCAACTTCTACTTTCAGTTATTAATTACGTTGATTTCATTTGTATAACTGATTATATTTGTATAGAGAATCACAGTAAGTCTCAAAGGGCTTTTCAACACCCACACTATAAAATTAAATGAAAAAGATGCCTTCCAACCTCAGACCCTCACTGAAAATGAGGAACAACTCCCACGAAAACTTCATTAAGAAGCTAGAATTACTGCCTCACAGTCCTATGCCTCCATTAATCAGTCATGTTGCCGTTAACATCCATGCTCCACTCATAATACTGTAGTGAAGACTTGTGTATTTTTGGGGGAAATGAAAGATTCACTTTATTGATATGTATGAGTCCAGTTCACTTAGAGACTATTTTTACAGAGGAGTGCAGAGGGCTGATAAAGAACTCCCTCACATGGTGCGGTGACAATTACCTGAAGCTCAACGTCATCAAAACCAATGAGATGGTGATGGACAACCAGAGGAACAGGAGGTCCCCTATCCTGGTTGAAGAGGAAGTGAAGAGGCTGGACTCACCTTCAGGAAGGGACAGAGCAGACTGTTCTTCCTGAGGAGACTCCTTCAGTGTGTTTCTGCAGATCTTCTATCAGTCTGTAGTAGCCAGCGCTCTGTTCTTCACAGTGGTGTGCAAGAGAGGTCAGCAGCCTCAAAAAGCTGTTAAGGAAGGCCAGCTAGGTGATCAGGTTGGAACTGGACAGTGTGGAGGCAGTGGCGGAGAGGAGGATGAGAATCAAAGCCATCTTGGATAGTCCTTCTCACCCTCTCTGCAACGAGAAGTGGCAGATGGGTAGCTCCTTCAGCCACCGGCTCATTTCACCCAGGTGTAAAACATTAATGGGAGTTGTTCCTCATCCGAGTCAAGGGTCTAAGGATAGAGGGCGTTGTGCCAGATGTAATGAAATTCTCTCCACGTGTTCATGAGAATGGGACGGACGTGACCTTTGATCACCAAAATCTAATCAGTTTTCACATTTGTACCAAATTTGAAGAAATTTCATGAGAATGGGACAGACGTACGTGCTTTCAAACCCTTAATGCCTCCGGGGCCGCAGCTGTCACCGGCGTGACGGCATAACAACGGAGGAAACCTTTGACATAGCCACTTATCAGTAAACAGCAGACATGATATACAGATGTGATTTTTACAACACTGTGATAAATTTTGAAATCACCCATCTCACCACAGCTGACAGAAATGGATTTAGCTGTGAGCAGTTATCAAGCACCTTTCTCAGTTGGCTTGGAGGTTGCCAAGAAACAGACAATGCCAACTGGAAGCTGGCAGTTCATAAGGTCTAAGCATTAAGACCTAAAAAGTCAATATTGGTCCCAAGGGAAGAGATAATTAAGGCATAAAGATCTAAAAGACTTGTCACATATGGCTGGCCAGCTGTCACATCTGTCCGTTCATATTCATGGCGGTAACAACGAGGCCTATACTAAAGCAGCAGCAGAGTATGTAATGGCTGAGCATTAAATGTCAGCTGACTGAGCTACAACTAAAGGCTCGCACAAGAAGGCACTCAGAATGAGGAGAGGCCTGGCATTTAAAACAATACACAAGCTCCACTTCTCATTTCAGACGTTCACTCCCGAGTGGGTTGTCTCACAAAGATCTATTCCCTGTGGTTCTACTTCACACATCCCTAATGGCAAGAACCAACAGAGGAGCACAGTATTGAAGAGGAAAGTATTAAACTCTGCAGAATTCCTGTAGGATTTCTGATGGAAAACAGGGTGTTGCAGTGACAATCCCTCAACTGGGGGGTGTTAAGGTGCAAACTATCAGCAAACATCCGCCCTGCTGATGTGTCAGTGAGCAAGGCACTGAACCATTTGCCTGCTCAAGGATAACTGTGAGACTGTCCTCACCAAACAAATTACATAACTGCGTGTTTATTCCAATTCTTTCAACAACCTATATATGTTTCAGTTTTTCCATTGTGAATAACGTCAAAAGACCAGCTTGGTTTCTTTTAGACATGAGTCCTATTTTTTCCTAACCATAATCAGGTCATTTTCATAGACTAAATTGGCCAAGACTGTAGAGTTGCCAAATCATAAAACCTAGCATAATTTGTCTTTGGGACAGTCATGTGTGGAATGTACTGACAAACAAACCCCTTTGTCCTTTAGGTATGAGCACTTTCTGGTCGTGCATCTAACCATGTGCTCTGGCCAAAGAAAAGAGAATTGCTCTGCAGGGATAATGAAGCTATCACTTTTATGGCCTTTGCAAACCATAGTCAGCTTATTTTGGTCCAAATTAGGGGACAAGTAGTTGCTCCGTTGCATTCATGCACTGGTTGCTTTTATGATAACCACACACAATTTTCAATTCAGCCGTGATCTATCAACAAAAGCCATGCAGGAGGCAAATTAGTCAAAACAAATCCAATTTCAGTCTGTGTCACTTCAGCTCTGCTTTGCGGACTTGCAGTCTTGGCTCTTTGTTTGCACTGAGCTTTAACACTTCTTGCCTGTTTTTTTGCAGAGTTTAGAAATGTATTGAAAAAGCATTTCACTGCATCTTGAGTGCAAATTTGCCCTTGGTTCATTTTGTTTTGCTTGGCTTTTCAAGCATGTGTGAGTACTGGCTATGAGATGACAACATCAGTCTCCTTATAGCCATAAAACCATAAAACTGCATTTCAGGGTCATGTCTTGTGATGAAGGTCTAACTCCTAACAAACTGCCTTGCTGTTCACTTGAGGTCCACATTTTCAGATGTCTCTGAGACATAGCCATTGCTCTTACCTGTCTGGATGAAAGCAACTAAAAGCACATGGATTCAAATACACATTTAAAAACTGACTGGTGTAAATGCACCCTGGCTTAGAGTACAAACTGGGACAGATCTAGTGAGCTGGGTTTGGTTGGGTGTATTATGAGCGTCCCCCTGGGATCTGCTCTGCCCTGCGGATTTCAATGTGTTGGGATGTGGTTGTGTGTGGCAGGCAGCTGGCAGTAGTGACTGACAGGTCAGGTGAGCGCCGTGGTCTGCTCAGGCGTGCAGATCCAGCTCCTCTGACTGATCTGAAGTGGCTTCAATTAACTGGAGCAGCCAAGTGTGAGGGAGGGGACTGGGGGGGATGGGCCCCAGACAAGCCTGCTGACAGATTTGGGGGGGGTGAGATGAGTGGGGCCGTCTGACAGGTCCTCCAATGCCCCAACAACTCCAACCTTTCTCCATCTCCTCTTAGCTAATTACTAAGTATCCATATGGAGACACTTGTCACTGTGATCACAGCAAATTGGCTGTAACTGCAGGGTCAGCAAGGACTGTCTTTCACTCGCGTATGCAGACATACGCACAGGGGACACACACCAAGTCTTGCAGAAAAACAAAACACACACAATAGTTTTCATCTTTTTCAATACTGAAACTATTTTGAGTTTCCTGAGAGAACAGAAATTAAGTCCCAGCCAGGAAATCCAATATCACAGGCACAGGCGTACATCTGCAAAACCATATTCGTGTTGATTCTGCATGATGCTCCGTCTGTATGATAATATAGAATGGAGGTGATTAAAATATCCCAGCATTTCTCAACAAATCCTACACACAGATTTAATTTTCATGGATATATGCAGCAACGTTGATGTCAGAAGGCACTGCCAAGTGAAATGTTAGTTTCACTTTGAATATAAGAAGGTAAATCACACTCCAAATGTGGGAACATGGAGAATAGATTTGAACTGAGTCGTGGAATTTCTCATATCTCCACATTTGCTCTACTTTTACCTTTTAAAGCAAAAGGAGAGCTTCTTCACTTTGTTAAACATTTTATGAAACACTGAAACAGCAGACAAACCTGTACACACCAGCAGGCCAATATGTCACATCAATAATGCACTATTATTTACTATTTTCTCCTCTCAGCACACAAAAATGTGATTCTTATGGCCTCTAACAGAATAGAGTGTGTTATTTTACACTATCTTTTCATCTAGCTTTTGCTCTTGCATTCTTGCTTTCTTGCTTTCTTGCTTTCTTGCTGTTCTTGCTAGTTTTACAATACCTAATTAACATGGAAAGTTTTTGGGGTAGGCGTGAAACACACAGGCCAACGTAATTTCCCCTGAAGGATATATTTTATTGGTTTTTTTTTTGGCCTCTCATGTTAGCACATCCTCCATGCCTAAGCCCTCATTTCCCCTTCTAAAACCTGATCTCCTTCCTCTTTTCTCACTCTTAAGTCTTTTATTAGAACTGGGTGCAATTTCCACTTTTAAATGACGGCTGAATACTACCTAAAAGTTCTTACCCAGCTGCCATTTATGTGATCAAGTGTCTGCTGCATCCTCTGTTCTCTTCCCTATTTGGTATTCCTCCACTAGTAGCCTCTAGATCTTCTGTCACCTTCATTCTTTTTGAAGGTTTGTGTTTTCTATTCATACCATCTACCTTATTTCTCATTCTGGACCATCAATTTCCTCTTACCCACTATTTGGTTCAACGCTAGCCATCTGAGAATAGTTTTGTGCATCTTAAAAAGCAAAACAAAATGTAGTTTGCTGGAGAGAAACTACTGAACTACAACATGGCAACTTATTATTGTCCATGACATGTCTGCACCTGCAGAACAGCAGAAGTACATTATCAAAGACAACTTTAATGCCATGTAGAATTCTATTGCAATACTGGTCTGTATGCCTTGGCTGACAAACCAGTGCAGAACACATGGCACCAGGGACATTGCAATATTTATGAATTCACTAGTTATAAGGTTATGATTTAAGACACTTAATTTAGGCCTTGATTTTTTTTAAAGACAAACGCTTTCATTTTTGCCGCGAAAATGTAACAAATGTAGGTTAAAAGTGTCTCTAACAACTGCCTATTCCAACCCGCCTCCTTCCCACACTATACTTGCCATTTCCTAATATTGGTACAGACCAACAACCCCCCTTCCCTCCCCAAGATCCTCACCCCATTTGATACTCACCTAGATCAAAGTCCCTCGCACATCTGTTCCGCTTGCTGCTGCCATGACTCGCCAGCTGGACTCTGTCCGTCAGGTCTCTCTGTCTGTAGGTGTGTCAGTACTGCATGTCTGTCCAAAGCCTGAGCTTCTTGGCAAGCTGCAAACGCAAACAGCGGAAAGAATCAACAAGACTGTAGTTGTGCGAGCAAGCGTGGGTGTGAGCCGGAGCCTTATCATATTCTTGCAAGAGACTCCTTGTCAAGTTGACTGTTTGTGTGCGCATCTGTTATGTAGGAGACTTGAATGCAGAACATTTTTTGAGAAAGAGTGTGTGTGCTTGCGTGTGTGACAAGATATTACAAAGACACATGTTTTACGAAGACTGTGGTGAGGTTTACACTGCGAGGCGGAACAAAGTGGGACAGGGACTCCTTACGTAATTACACCCAGCATTAAAACACTAATCCAAACACAAACTGTATCTGGACTGTATCCAAACAGCAAACTAAGCCACAGGTGTAAACAGAGCCATGAATGTAATCTCATTTCCACAAATCAAATGATGGTGCTTATAGCAATAAGATTCAAAGCAGGCTTAATGCTTCCGTAATATTTCTTGGGGTATATTTACACTGACCCATAAATATGGATAAATATCTTTGTGGATATAATTCAGATGTACACACTGCATGTTAATGTGATGTAAAAAGGGCCCACAGAGACCCAAGGAACAGTACAACAACCTGACAGGACAGACGCACATTGGCACTCAACTCCAGCGTAGAGGTATGCTCTGTGAGTCTCATTAAAATCCTCCAAGTATAATTCCCTTTCAAATACCACCTCCACCTAAATAAACATGACCGAGGACGCTTACTCATACACATGGCTGCCAACCACAGATGAACAGGATTTCACAGAGCCGGCTGGTTGCATTTAGCCAACCATTATTCTAGAGAGGTGTGTGGATTGTAACAAAATGTCTAAAGCTAAACAGCCAAAATGACACTCTTTGGGCTCATAATACAGCCAATCCATAAAGATCCCTGACATTTAAGTCATTTAAACTAGGAAAAGCTTGATGATTTGAGTCAATGTTCTTTTATAACCAGCTCATAAAGTACAGAGCTGCATTTTAAAACAGGCGTGAATGACTTGAAACTACGGCAATAGCTACAGAAAAGTGAATCACAAGTTGCCTCAGAAGTTACATAAATTCTGACATTAACCAAATCACTAAACACTAACTCACATTAGGTACAGACATATTGAACATAATAACAAAAAAGGCAACTGTATGCACTCGGGCTCTTTGTATTCATGACCAGCATCCTAACGGCCTGTGGGCTTTTACTTTGGGGAGAGAGGAGATTATCCACATGAATGAATGAAATATCTTAAGATCCACATGTTTACACATACATACCAAGGAAATGTCAATCAGATGCAAAATATAGACGCTGAACGCAGAAATGTCAAAAAGGGAGCCCGGCTCTGCGATGTGTGTATGGGCCCGGCACCTTCTGATCAATAGCTCACCTGAAATGAATATGTGATCGTTCTCACTGTCTCAACAAAGCAGAAGTAAGCTCCAAACTTGACAACAAAACAGACACAACCAGGATCAATAGGCCCTATTTAAAACTCTATTAAAAGGTCCAGTGTGTAACATTAAGGAGGAACTATTGGCGGAAATTAAATATTCATACATATATTTTAATTAGTGTTCACCTGAAAATAAGTGTTTTCATTACTTCAGAATGAGACATTTCCAAAACTGTTTCCAAACCTTTCTTTTTTATAATATTGTTAATTTAATATTTTGGGGTATCGAACTGATAGTCAGTTAGTCTGAGGACCTTCAAAAAGACTTATGATGGTCACTTTTTTTACTATTTCTTTCACATTTTATAGACTATGGAATGAATTAAGGCCGGCTGCTTTGGGTCACTCTCAGCGCTCTAATTGTTTTTGGCTACAGGAGGTAGTGAGCGGACAGACAAAGTTAGCTCATTGAAAATGACCACCATGTTCTATAGTAGCCCAGAAGGGACAACCTAAACACTGGCACTAGATAGGGGTCACCATAGTTTCTCCTTCGAGTTTGGAAAGGGAGGGAGAAGTGAGGGAGTTGCGATCTGCAACTACACCACTAGGTGCCACTAAATCTCACACACTGGACCTTTAAAAGATGATAATAAGTCAGTGTGGTGTTCACAGCTTTGCTAGCTCCCTCCCTCTCAGCAAATTCAGCACAGCAATGACAATACCCTCAACTTTAACACTGTCTCCTTCCTTCCTTCCTCAGAGTTCCACTGAACTGAAAATGGTCATCATTTCTGTAGTCTATTCTGTGTCCAATATTCACACAGGTCAGACGTGTGATACTGGGTTGTGACCACAGGAAATGAGGTATGACCTGGAGCTTGTAACAACCCCATCAACGCTTTGGATAAGCAGGATGGGACTCGGCCTTGATGCCCTTCCTGTCTTCTCTGTCCTGTGTCGTTTGCCCTTCTCTGACTCTGGCAGTCTCAAGTGGTCAGTTAAGACAACGACGGATGACAAAAGACAATCCAACCAGTCCTGCCACCAAGGCCTGACTGGTTGACCTTAGAAGTATCATGAGACACCATGGTTTGTCTGAAGAAGAAAAAAAGAAAAGGAGGATGGAGCTGCCAGACAGGGAGGTGGGAAACAAAAATACAAGAGCAGGGAAAATAGAAAGCAGAAAAATGAAGAGCAGACAAGACACAGAGGGGAGATGGGCAGGATGAAAGATAGGTCGATGTACAACAGGCTGATGAAATAGAGCAAGAAAGACAGAGGAAGAAAGGAGGGGAACAGGAGCTCAAACAATAGTCAGGAAACAAAAAATGGAGACACACGAAAGGAGTAGAAGACAAATTAAGCAGAGGGCAGAGAGGGACACGAAGAGATGGGGGTAGCCCAAAGAATAAAAAAATGTCAGACTCAATTCATCTCTCAAAAGAGGGGAGAATTAAGGAGGAAGAATAAAGCCATGCTCCTCTCCATCTCAGCGCTCCTAAAACCTGCACAGACTTAAAAAGACCAATATGTAGAAAGGAACAAAACGCCAGGGGGGTTACATCAAGCGCTTCACTACATTCAAAAAGAGCCGCAGAGGAAGAATAACTGACACAATTAAGAGCATAACTGTCATCACAGCCAATCAACCCAGTGCCGCCCACACGCCGCCACTGAGCAATAGACCCATCATGAAGGGCTTCTAATTCCCCCTGGCAATGCAACACTGACTACTAATAGTGAATACCAGATACCTTACAGGCTTAAAGGCTACAGCATTCTAATGCAACAAAAACAGGAGACACACAAATGTACAAAAGCGTTCCATCAAACAATGTTCCTGCCTCCTTTGCATTCTGAGAGAAAAGCTGACATTTAAATATAATCCTGCTGACATGCAAACTAAGCACAGCCGATTCCATAACCCATGTGTGCATCAAGAAAAAAAAGAATGATGTGTGAATCTGAAACCAATCACAGGTGGATGCGTGCTCTCACTCAATAAAATACAAACTCAATTTAATGAGCTCTCAAGCTCCTCCACAGTGGCATTTCCTCTTCCATATCTCCATCTTTTTACAACTATCATTCACCCTACCTCCATTTTTCTTCCCCCCCACTACCGCCTGCCTTCCCTCCGCCTGCCCTCACTCAGTTTTTCATTCTAAATCCACTTCTCTGCCTCCATCTTTTTCTCGCTCCATCCAAAACAACAGCCATTCCAGAAAGAGGGCCATCAATCTTCTTCAATGAGACCAGAGTGCGAGAGACTGCCAAGGCTACAGCGGATTACTATCTCTCCTTACCCCCACTCAACACTGGATAACGTATAGAAGGAGAGAATGGGCAGACAGAGAGGCAGGGAGGGTCGAGAGTGAGTCAAAAAAACAATCTTAGATAGCAGGTGGACGCATTAGATCTTAAAAGCCTCAAACCCCTGTCAACAGCGGAGGCTTGTCAAGTAAAGAAGCACAGCAGCTGAATAAAAACGTAGAAACTCTAATCCTAACTGGCAACTCCAAACCTGACCCTTGATTTATTTCCACAGAGAGCTCCGCTAATGGAAAGGCATGAGCTACTCTGCAGCTTTCATCTCCTGTAAAAAGCTGGCTTTGATGAAGGACTGGAATTCGATGGTCATTATTATAAATGTTTCATTGTGAAATAAATGATTATTTTTCAATTAATATATTAATCTGTCAATCTGCCAGCTCCAGCTCCAGGTCCAAGGTGAAATTGCAAAGGTTTGTGCTTGTTAACAATTATCAAAATGTTGCTACTTAATTTTACTTCCATGGACTAATCAATTTATTGACTAACTGTTAGAGCTGAGGTTCTACGGCATTTTATCAAATCTGAATTGAGCAGCAAATCTGCTTCCTGAATAAAAATAGTTCGAATCTCCAGAGCGCCCAGATAGCTCACCTGCTAGAGCTGGCACCCCATGTACCAAGGCAATAGCAGCCCCAAAAGATATTTAAAATAAATACATTTGAATTTCTACAATTCAAGAAATAAAATTAAAATATTTGTATTTAACTTTTGTTGGCTGAGAAGGCAGAAGCACTTTTAATCATAGCTTAATTAATGTTCACAACCTGCAGCTCCAACCTGTTGATTAAATGTACCAGACACAATGGAATAACAGGCACAGCCCTGTTTACGTACCTTTTCTGATACTTAATACAATCAGTGTTCAGTATTCACTTAGTCCTACTCAGCCTAATTAAAACTTGTATGAAATATTTTGAGTCAGCTTTGTAAAGTCTGAAAAACCTTGAGACAAACACTTTAAGTCATTTCAGCTTGGGCTTGGAGACTTTGCACACTTTAGTTTTTCACAGGATACTTGTTCAAAATGCTGGTCCTGACTCATAACTATTATTTTTATAGGCTTGAGATGTTGACATGATATCCGTTAAGCAAGAAGATTCATGGGAAAATAGATAGATCCATTCTCCAGAGGAGAGTCAGCACTCGGTACTGTTGCTCTCTACTGGTCGAGTTTAACAAGACCAATAGTGTCCTTTACAGCGGTGTGAAGCATGAGCATTTTGGTCACATACGCCAGTCAAAATTGAAGTGTGCAAATGTGAAAATTAATTTGGG